ACCCCACCGTTCTGCGAGTTTCCCCCATCCAGTCGCCATTTTCGCGCCCTTGGGTGTCCGGTGGCCATTTTGGAACCGCCGAACAGCTGATCGTCACAAAGCAATTTTCGGCCATAGAAAGCATCGGTATGCGATCGCATTAGCGATCCCAAAAAATGGATCGCTATGCGAATTCGTCATTAAACGGTGCACTCGTTATGCGAGGCACCACTGTACGTTCATTTCTGCCTGTTACATGTGTGTTTTAATCTTTCAGTTTCTTTTCTGAACCCCTTTTTATCTATTCCTAAACCCTAACATTTTTTCAACATCTTGTGGTCCCTAACTCTCTCTATCTCTCCCTGATTCCAACTCTATCCCTGTCTCCTCCCAACTGTCCTTAACTGTCTCTTCCAGCTGTCTTAACTGTCCTTTTAGCTCCGCCCCTCCTGCCCTATCCTCTGATTGACAGGCAGAAATGATGCCACCTTTTTGCAGTCTACTACACTAGCCTTATGGGTTTTTGGACTCCCTAGAAGCATTGCAAAGTCTGAGTAGACTGGAGTGCTGGGAGGTACTGGTACCAGGAATATTCCATAGTCATCACCATAATTGGCTCTCCTGGGTTCACTCCCTCCAGGACAAATAGAGTAGTGTAGTTGAGTGGCTAGAGAGGGACTCCCCTGAACACCCCAGTAGGTCTGGGTTTGTCACAGGACTCCCCTGAACATGAGTACTGTCATAAAGGGTTGCTAAGGCAGCTTAGCCTACCACTTTTGCTCACATTGCAGCCTTATCTTCCAGTTTAGAGCAGCCAACCATAGAGCCAACAAGGTGGAAAACGGCTGTCTGGACTACTTAAATTTCAGAGAAATGAGCTTTACAGAGGAATGGCTGCATCACAGGCTGGGAATGAGTGGGCATGAGAGGAAGTAAACCTATAAGGGTAGTTTGCTGCCACCAGAAATGAACAGATGCAGAGGAATTAAAAGGAAGCCTATCAGGAGCTACCTCATTAAGTAGCCTAAGAAAGCACTGTTTTCTTTAATATTCTTCTCTCCAGTTTGTGAAACATACTTTCCTGTTCCTAATTCTAACAACTTGAAATGAATGTGTCTAGCTATTCTCTGCCTTCCTCCTCCCTTCTCTCAGCTCCACACTTTCTTACTTGAAGTGTGAATTTCACACTACAGACCTTGACAGCTTGGAGTCTGCTGTTCTATATTTATGTATCAGATAACAGGTACAGTGGTGGCTGCAGATGCCCTATGACCAAGAATTTTGCCCAGTAGTGTTTGGAGAAATCCATCTACACAAGAAGATTTCAGATATACGCAGGGGAGGAGAGCAGAAAGAAGAGGTATATAAAGTTTGAAAGGAAGAGCATTCATTCACTAATAGGACATTGTTTTAGATCACTGGAATTCAGATCACTGGACCATTTCACTCAGTATTGGCCATATGCTCATTAGTCAAAGTCCTACTGTTGGCCCCCCAGGAGAAAAAATACACCAAATCATAGTGACTTTGGTAAGCCAATGCTTACATAGTTTCCAGTAATTTAGTTGGAACTAACTATTGTAGTTGGAACTAACTATTAGATTTTAGCAGTGGTGGGATTCAAATAAATTAACAACAGGTTCTATGTCCTAATGACTAATAAACAAACAAACAAACAAATAAATAAATTTTATCTCTCTCACCCACACCCCACCTCAGACGGCTCAGTGTGGTGCGGGAAGGGAGGCAGCTAATTGTGCCCCCTCCAGTTGGAACTAACTATTGTAGTTGGAACTATTAGATTTTAGCCCACTGGCAGCAGGGACTTGACAACAGGACTTTTCCTTAGTCTTGCCTAGAGATTACAGTAATTAATTTGTAAACCTTTTTACACAGAGAGTGTGTGTTCTACCACTGAGGCTGCTACAACCCTGCCACTATCCAAGGCAAGTTGAATTGGAACCACTTAGCTTTGCTGTGGCTTGATTTGCAGCATATTTTATGCTTTTGTTTGGATCAGGTGATCACATGGAGATTGTGGACTATTTCAGTGCCAGTGTCCACAATAGGCCCTTCATCTGATGTAGTTTGACCCTTGCCACAGCCCACAGCTTGCTTTCCTTTATCCCA